ATCCTTGGCTCTCCACACACTCACCACTCACATCCAACTTTCTTTCCGCACTTGTCCCACCATCTGCTTCACCTCCACCAATCAATAGCTGTGGATCTCCATTGTCGCACTCCAAAATCAGTCTGCCCTGAAAACTGGGAAACTGCCTCATCACATTTTGCTGGAACTATACCCGAACTAGGGATTCTGGTCGTGGATATCTTTTGCCCTTTTGGTTGGAAGAATTCGCACTCTTTTTATTGGTTCGCTGGGGAAGTAATCAGTCACTTTAGACACTCTGGATCGGGGTGTCTGCCTCTTCTCACATCGTTTCTGCGTCCTGTCGCATTGGGCCTGACCCAACTCCCGAACGGTGATCAACAATCGTACTTAGTGCGAGGCACCCATCAAGACGCTGACCTTTCCGAATCAAACAATCGGCGATTCCAACTGTTGAATAAGATGGCCGTCGCGACGTTAGCGCCTCCACCTGCCAGCGACGGCGCACACACCTCAGACACTTCTGGTGGCCCGGGATCGGATGCACCAGCTGAGGACACTGGCAACACTCCTCAGAACACTGCCGGCAAAGCGCTAGACGCGCCTACAGACGCGGATCCGCCTGACAACGGTTACACAGACGACGCTAACGCGCGGAGAAAAGTTCGCCCGCGGTCGAGAAGGACGGCGCGGAGGTAGAGGACGTCACCGAGTCCCTGCCCGACGATAAAGCTGGGAACCCTGCATACACGCATGGCTCTAGGAGTCCCTCAGATTCGTCACAGCCCACAACGGGCGTGGTGCTGGGTGGGGCGCATTTTCTTTCCATTGCAGAATTCGACAGGATCTGCCTGCCAGGAATCATCCCGTCGTCCGCGACGTCGCTTTCCATGGGGGCATCCGTGGTTCCTGTGAGCTGGGACGTCCCGCCTAGTTTTGATTCGGCGCCTGAGCGTCATATCGTCGGAGTTCCGGCTACTGAAACGGCCCTACAGCGCGGATCGAGGATGTATGACGGGTGCGGTGGTCTGGAGACTCCTCTCTTGTTTGAGAGTCTCAGCACGAAGGACCTCGCAGACTTGGAGGGGCTGTTGGGCCGTGACTCGTTGGATTTCCTACTCCAGCTGCGTAATTACGCTCCGACGGCTTAGGAACGAGACACGGAAGCTCGTTCTTCCCTCGTTCAGCGAGAGGTTGCTTCAATTTTGGCCCACTTCTCCTGAGAACGTCTTGCAGAGCGCGTATACAATACCATGTCATTCTTGAGACGTCTTCTGGTCAAGGTTCGCGACCTTCAAGATCACATTCAGCGTTTGGATGCGAACAAAATTCGGACCACGCTCTCTGGCTTCAGGACACGAATCACGCTTTGGAATCTGAGTGGACAGCCATGTGCCAATACTGGCACCGCCATGTCCAGGATGTCGAACGTCGAAGCTCGGCAACAATGGCGGCCCGGACCCGTTTCTTTCGCAACCTGGAGGATGGTCTGAAACGCAAGGCCCAGACATTGCAGGACGAGAACACTCGACTCCGAACCGAGCTGCGGGCTGCACAAGACGCCCAGGAATCCGCAGAGCGTCGCGCTGGTGACAACGTGTTGGACCCTGATGACTTACTGGACTTCTTGATGCGAGATGAGAGTGGACGCACCGTTATTTCCAATAGGGAGCGTCTCTGAGATGTTTTCCGACACTACGCCGCAGGTACCAAGCCTCCCAGCGCTTGGAATACTCAAATCAATGTGACCGCCATGGACAACGTTGTTACATGCCTCCCGACTACGTGAAGCCTGACCCGCGTCCTAGAAACCCTCGCGGGGGTGGTGGATCTGGACCAAAGCCACCAACTCCAAAGCCAAGTAGAGTTCTGGTCCTGGCGGGTAACGGAGGGTGGAGGCCTTTTAACACGACGTCACAATCTTCCAAGTCGTGGCCAACTTCTGGCACCAAACGCAAGGTGTCACGGCAACCCGATTCTAATCGCGGTGGTAGCTCGCGCAAGCCGGAGTTTGATATTACAGAAGAGAGACAGATACACCCTAAGGAGCACTGCCCTCGCGGCGATCTCCTCTGTGGTCCTGACGAAGACCTGGATTCAGGGATGGAAGCCGCCGCACAGAAGTGCGTCCCTGATGGTTTACTCTGCGACGAACTCCGACAGGACGTTCGCATGTTAATGATCACCGGTCTCACGTACGAGGAAGCTCTGAAGTTATTGCATGGGGGCGACCCCATTCACCACCTTCTGCCTGGATATATGGTGCAGTTGATGCTGGCTCAGATGATCTACTGGGGAACTTTGGACCTAACGCCCTGGAGTAAATATGTGCCTGAGTCCAATTATTTGGATGCCGAAAGAATCTGGACCGGGATTCGAGTTGTGGATAGTCGCGGACTTGAAAAATGGTCTTCCTTGGACAAATGTGATCGGAAGCTTCAGAAGCTTAGCGATGTGGCTGCAGAGGTCGAGATGATCAATGGCGCTCTCTCTGAATCGTCAGACGACGAGACTCAGGATCCTTCCTTCTCTCTGAAACCAGGCGCAGAGGAGGCTGACAATGCTCAAGAGACTCGAGACGAGGCCGAGGATCTAGATGATGGCGCGGAAGAGGTACCGACAAACGTTACCGTTACTAGTCCAAAAACTGCCAATCAAGTAAGTCCTGGAACGCGACGCCCCTCTCCGGCCTTGGGTAAGATATTCAAGGCATCGTCTAGGGCTCCAGACACCAAGGTTGTCAAGAGGGTCAAGACTAACACCGGTCGTGCCAAAAAGGGGTACGTCACCCCACGGACTTGGCCACTCGCGACTTTCAGTCTCTGGGTGACGACGAGCTGTTGATCATCGAGGTCTGAGATGTTACCAGCACCTTTCGAGTCTTTGTGATTAAAATGAAATTCTCCGACAAGTTCCAGACTCTTGACTTTCCAGATTATGAACCACACAAGCGCGAGACCAAGTATCTCAAGGATTGTTGGTCCATGGAGGCGTGGGATGAGTTCTTGGGCGTCGTTCGGGTGAAAAAGTCTGGATCTAAGAATCGTCGTGTGACTACATCGAAGCGTAGCTCCCCTGGAGCGGGTGTCTACGGTTCAGGCTCGGATCACAGCGTGTGTGAGACACGAGTCCTCGATTTTGTGCTTCCCTGGGTCCAAATGTTCGAAGACCGTTCCAAGGAGTTCTACTCTCATCGCGTCCGTGACCTGGGCAAGCAAGTCATGTGTGGGCTCAGGGAATATGTGGAAGCCATGGAAGAGCAAGCTGAAGGGTGGTGGTACATATTGCACTGGTTCACGATGTCCGTGGAGGATGACCGTGCCAAGGATCTTCACCTATAGCGTCGCAAATGTCGGGAAACGCTGGTCCGATACTTCCTTCTCCTAGTCGAGCGATTGGAGAAGATCGACAAGTTCCCCAAAACGCTCTGGTATAAGCCGGGTTTGTGGATCCTGCCAAACACTATATGTTACTGGATCTTCATAGATCCTTCGGTGAATTTCCTAACCGTGTCAGGAGTTGCTGACTTGCGTGCCGAATACCTGAAACTAGACGAGAGGGAACCTGCGCGTACACTCTGGGCAGATGCTGCGAGTGAAACGGCGCGTCTGGAGCATGTGCCAGAAGCGTTCGTTTCCAAACGTCTGATCCCAAAACTTGAACGGGCTAAAAACCTGCTGCCGGTTCCAAGACCTCCCTCCACTACGAAACCAAGGACTACGAAAGAGCTATACGAGCTCCGTCCCGCCCGGGATGCCGCGTCAGCGGGGTCCAACTCGGATCGAATGTCTGATCCGAGATTACTTGGCGCATCTCAGACTCGGCCTTCATCGTTATGCATATCGTAGCGTATCCGTCTAATTCAATAATCGAATACTGATGTCTCACCTTGCTCCATTCTCATATAAGTCACATTAAAGTGGGGCAGACTACCCAATAACTCTCCACTCGTACCAAACCTCTGGAACCAAATCACCTTAGCCAGACATTCACGCACAATCACTCAGTCGCTGTTATAGCCCACGGCTTCTCTGAAACGGGGCACGTAATGGTTGGAACCAGACTCGACTTCTCAGGACCGGGGATTATAGCTGCGCATAATCGTCGTTCCCAGATTGCATGGCTGCGAAACGAGATTTAGCGCGTGCTGACTGGTTGAACGTATATAGTAGGGAGCCGCAGTTCAATTGTGAGACGGGTAATCACTGAAGTTCGTCATATCCCTTCCACTTAATGAGATACGCGCGGATACGTTTCGCATTTCGGGTACGCTTGGTCCATCTTAAATCCACAATTACTTCCACTTCGTACTCCTGATACACCGAGTCTGGTCCCCAACTATCTTCCGGCAATAAGGCCGCATCAAAATCATCTTCCTCTGAAACCTCAATCCTTAAAGATGGCCGTTTCGGAAACAAGGCGCGTGGTTTCAGGCGACTAATGTGGACCCAGGGTTCTACACGATAGCCTGTGCCCTGAACCTTCAATTTCACCTAGAAATCGTCCCGGACCTGTTCAATCCTGAATGGTCCGTGCCACAAGTGGGCCGACTTACGACTCAGACCTGGCAAAACCTTCGGGATGTATAACCAGACCGAATCACCTACTTCGAACCCAGACTTAGGGTGTTCCGACAGTATCTTCCACTTCTGAGTCTGGACCGCAGATCGGATACGCTTAGCCTTCTTCTGGAGCTCTTCCGCGCACGCGTGGGTATAACTGTAATCTCGTTGCAGTTTCCGACGCCATTCGTACGCGGTACGTTCCGTGACATCCGTCGGTTTGGGGCCGAACATAGCGGCTATAGTACTCCGACAATCAAACCCATGTAGCAGGTAGAACGGTGTATCCAATCTAGTCGCGTCGAAGGAGGTATGCATAGCATGCATGAGTTTCTCGGCGTGGTCGTCCCAGCCTGTTTGATCAGGTTCTTCGACATACGCTCTAATACTGTGTATAATTGTCTGACCCGACCGTACCTGCTGGCCATTGGCTTGAGGGCGATATGCGAGCGTTGCTTTCTGTTGAATACCCATCGTCTCATTGAAACGACGGAACACCCGACTCATGAAACGGGGATCTCGGTTATGTCGAATTTCAGAACTTGCGCCATAATTCCTGAACACGACCTCCTCATATGCTTCAGCACAGTCTTGGCCAGTAGTGCTACTCATGGGTTTACACATTACATAGCCTGTGAACATGTCCTGAAATAAGAGTAAAAACGTATTCCCGCGTTCCGACTTCGGGAGATGTGTGATGAAATCCATAGACACCACTTCGAATGGACCAGTCGGTTCAATGTTTCCGGGAGAGGGTCCTGGATGCGGAGGTCGCCCTTTAGCGGACGCGCAATCCGTGCATTCAAATATTTCGACGTCCTGGAACATTCCGATCCAGAAGAACTCTGAACGCAGGCGCTCGTACGTCCTGGTGATGCATTGGTGGCCACTCTGGAAATCTTCGTGAGCGTGGTGTAGGATGACGGGTCGCAGGACTTCTGGTACAACTAGTCGAAGTTCGTAGCGCATATCCCTAGGGCGTTCCGGAGTAGGCGCAGCCAAACGGTAGAGGACGTCTCTAAGACGTATCGATCCAACCCTTCGCGATTTCCTTGACTTCCTTCCGCGTATAGTTCAACAGATCACCTCTCACATAATCCTTGATCCTTTTTAGTTCTGGATCCTCGTCCTGATGGACTTTAATCCGTCTCCAATGTTCGCATCGATAATCAAGTGGCCGACTCGGATCATCTACTTGGGCGGCCTGTCTGGAACGACTTCGAGTCGTAACTATATTCACAGGTATCACTGCCCGGGTACGTTCGGGGCAGAGTCTGAAACGAGGTCACTTGGACGAACGCCCTTCAGACTGAGATTTGCGTCATCCTTTCGCTTCGAGGTTTCCACGTCTTTATAATCTTCTCCGGGATCCTAGAGACAAATTTCAGATGCATCAGTTCGTCCGCATCTTCCACCACCCACCCTTTCCCGAGTGCCAATATCTTCATTGTCAGGTAATCTGCGGCTTGGTTATAATCACGTTTGATGTGGTCAAACCGTACGGACCCAAATTTCACTTTCAACGCTTCATACTCAGCAAGTCGACGTTGCAGATTATGCTGGTGGCAACCTATCAACCCTTGCGCTTGTTGGATTACGATCCTAGAATCGCCGACCACAACTACATCTCTGAAACCACGGTCGCTAGCTCCAGGCCTTTGATCAGCCCGTGATATTCGGCATCGTTCACGGTCACATCATCCAAAGGGAATCCGTGAGCGCTCAAGACATACCAGCCAGGTAAGCGCCACAGAATGCACCCGCAGCTTCCTTTTCTAGTGGAGACCTTGGCTGCGCTATCAAAGCTCGGAACGTATCCTTCGAAGTCTGAATCCAGCATTTCTACACTGATTGGCGGGGTGCCTTGACTCGCCCCTTGGCCGGGATCAAGTTCTCAGCAACTTCGTCCAGATGCTCCTTGGGGGTAATACCTGCATCGATGATAGCAGCTAATCCATCTTCGTCGCGTTGCACACGGCGCAGTTCCAGAGTCACTTCGACAATTCTAAACCCCACTGAGACGGCCGTCGGTGGGATTTGACTTCAATAGCCACGTCAGGACCGAATGTCGGGTGTCGATTACGATCGGTGTCTCTGAACCGTAGATGAGCGGACGGAATTACTCTATGACTCGCGGGATCGCCGATACCTCCTTCTCCGCGATGTGGTACCTAAGTTCAGACTCCTTCAGGACCCGCCCTGTGAAACGCACTGGTTGAATTATCCCTTCATGTTCCTGTCCGAGGACGGCACAAGCCGCCCAGGGCTTTGCATGTGGGATGATGACAAACGACTTGGTAAAATCTGGGTGGCGCAGCAGCGGTGTCGATGTAATCTTACGTTTCAGAATCTCGAACGATTCCTTGGCTTTATCCAAATCATGTCCGGCACGAACGCGATCCCCATCCAACTCGTAAAGTACAGCCGCGACAACAGGCAAATCCTCGATAAACTTGTTATAGTAATTCAAGCTGAATGCAGTCGCTTCCTTCATCAACTCGGGGAGTCTCAAACCACCTTCGCATCGAGGAATTTCAACCGTCGGTTCTGCGTCTGGGGCAGTCAGCTCCAGAAATTCTAGGACGTCTCGGTCGACCTTAGCCTCCTCTTCGGGTGGGAGCCGCACGAATCCTTAGAGACAGTTGTTAATCACACTCTGGTACACTAACGGCGTGTTCTTGAGTCCAAAAGGCATCCGGATCCACTGGAAATGTCCGAACGGACAGACAAAGGCCGAAATCAACTTCGCCCGCTCTGTCATCTGAATCGCCCAGAAACCACTCGCCATATCCAGACTCATGAACCATGCCGCAGCATTAAGATCAGTCAGCAAGTCATCAATCAGAGGTAGAGGATATCGTGATAGCTTGATCAACTGGTTAACCAGCCTATAATCAACACACATTCTGATATCCTCTCCATTCTACGATCGGGGATGACCACTCCGATTCAGAGTGTTCAATGAGTCCAGTCTCTAGGAGCTTCTTCAGCAGCTCGTAAACTTTCACCAGATATCTGGAAGCGATTTGTCGAGCACGCAGTGCTATCGGCATCGCATCACCTACATCCAAATCACAAACGACTCCTTGGGACCGGTGCTGCATTGCCATCACCTAAAAAGATACGACGATAATAATTCAAGATCTCCCGCATCTTGTCCTCCATCTCTGGGGTCGTGACGCCTGGAACGCCAACGTCGGCTTTGTCGATGTCGCATTCCGGACTCAACTCTCCCAACTCTGGAAACATGGTCAGATGGTCACTCAACTGAGCTAAGAGCTCTGTCCCTTCACGCAGATATACAGCTGGTTCCAGATCTAACTCTTCCACTGTCACTCGCATAACACGCCCGTAATCCCGTTCCAGTCTCTGGACCGGAGTATCTGAGAGATCCGAGACGTCATCCATGGGGTTTGAGAAATCGTCCAATGCACTCTCGAGGATATCCTCTAGTGCGTCCTCCGAATCGAATTCTGGAACGAACTCCGAAACGTCGTTTGTTCCTGAGGCAAAATGCTTCGGACTCAACGTCGGCGGACATTCCGGGTCCTTGGCTCTCGAAAAGGTGGACAGATCTCCTCTCAAGTCCTCTGCGTTCCGGAATCGTTCTGAATCTTCTGTACTTCCCACAATCGCCCCAGTCGTAGACGGTTCTGAGTCCTCATCTCGGACTCCAGGCCTGGCGGTTTGATCAGCAGCACAGCTACACCGATCCGAATTGCCATATCCACACGAGTTTGGGAAGTTAACTTGGGTACCAACATCTCTAGTGTCTACTGCTCCGGTCTCTTCGACGGATGTCGTCACCTGGACATCTGTCGGGCCTTTCACCTGTGAGGCACCTGCCTCCAGTTTTGGGGTGGTTTCACGTCGCGCAGCAAGGAAGACTTCCACAACTTCTGGTCGTTCCTGCAACTGTACCATCCTGACTTCCGCTTCCTGAGACTTTGGGCGTAGGAGGAGTTTTGTAGGCCATTGGTACTATGGTCGCGGCACCGCGGGAGGGTCGCATCAACTGCTCCAGGCGCTCAGCACGCATCCGGCCTTGACGCGACTTGGTACTCTCGACAATAAGCCGTTGCCACTCCTTATACCTGACTTTCACTGGGCGGATAGATCCTGGCTCCTTCGGGAAGTGCCCGTACTCCACAATCCAAGCAAGGGCTGTCCTGGTGTCGATCCAGATATTTCTATCTGAAACGTTTATGTGGTGAAGTCGGTGAAACTTTCACCCCTTGGCGTACAGTG